TCTAAAGAAAACAGAATGTTAGGTTAGAGAGTATTGGGGGGGTTTGCATTTGGGATGGGGATAGGAGGGGAGGTGGAATTCTGTAGACAGAGAAGATCTTTCTGGCTGTGACATTCAAGCTGCCAACTGTGGGATGAGGAGCCAGACATGCAAAAGTTGAGGAGGAGGACATTCTGGACAGAGAACAATGGATCTCATCTGCTTATCATTTTGGTCTTAATATCCCAGAATGATGAGGAAGCAGGAAGGGGAGTAATCATCATCAAAATCATTTTTATTAGGATTGTGTGAAGAAAATCAAATGTGCATAACAAGTGGCTGAAACATTTAGATGCTTAATAAATAAATGCTCTTATTCTTTCATATGAAAGCTCACTATAGTTTCATGAAGTGAACTTCTTAATTGGGAGAGAGGGGCATACTATATGTAATATTTGCTTTCATTTATTTAAGCATACTGTAAAGTTTTTTATACTACTTCATTATTTTTTTAACCATTTTTCCTATCAGTAAAATATTTTATCAAAAAATATTTACACTTTCCAAGCCCTTGTTTACCTACATGAAGCAGCTTCTACAGTGTTTGGCTTATATTCAAACATGATACACTTCAAAGTTTCGTATCATGTGAAGTATCATAGTTTAACATTAAAAATTTTTGTGATCTGAAATCTTTTAAATGTTTAGTGCTGTAAGTATTATAACACATGTACTTATTAGAGAATTTTTAATGCGTTTCTAAAAAATGTCCTCTTATTTTTGGTGGGGAATGCAAAGTACAGTGCAGTATTTTGAAGTTAGTTCGTTGTTGAAATATGCACATAAGTTAATATTTTGTCTGTGAATGTCTTTCCTCTGGCTTCCCATGCTTCATTTACAGTGTCAATAGCCATATGAGGAAAAAAGATAAACTTGATCCAGGGAGCATATGTGAGGTTCTCCATTGAAATATTTTGCTTTTCAATACATGCTTCTCTTACTTTTAAGTCTAATGGCTTTTAAAACAGGAAATGCCAGATATTTTCTTAGAAAGCGATAAGGAAATCTTTATGCAACTCATTTTTGATGCTAATTTTAACAGAGTATCTCTGAGAATCTTCCACAGAAGTATGCTGGTCATTCACCTGGGGCTGCAGATCAAAGAGGAAAAAATATAGTAAATGGGCAAGGAGAAGGTAAGAACTGTATTTCTTAAGAAAGTCATTTGAGGGAATGTTTATTTAAAATATGAGCACTGATACATCCTACTAGCCAAAGAAAATCACCTATTACATGTGTAGTGAGGACATAGAAGTGAAATGGTGGTAAGTTGTATATCTTATCACGTGTCAGCAACAGATTAAATGGAGAGTGCCACTGAAGGAGCTGGATCATTAATTTTGTTTCAGACACTGTAAGATCTGAGGAAAGTCAGGAAATGAGAAAGAGGGAATGAAGAGTGAGAATGGCAGCGAGTCCAGGGAGTCACTGATGGAAAGAGAAGTGGGTGTAAATAGTGGAGTGTGGTGCAATAAAATGATTCTTTAGCAAAGAAGGAGCAGGTATTAGAAAGGGGAAGAATTAATGTGAGCTTCCAGGACCAAAACTTGTCAGGGATGTTAAGCAAAATTTCCCCACTCTCTCTGTCTTCCTCGATGTTGGGAAGGCATTAAGGATTGAGGTGCCTGCCCATGCAGTGCTAAATTTTATCTGCCTTAGATGAATATGAGCATGTATGGTCAACCATACATGTGAATAATTTAATGTTATATAAAATGTTGCTACTTCACAAGATGGTATCCTACAGGGCAAATAAGAGAATTGTAAAGAAGAAGAGAACAGGATTGGTAATGGAGAGATCGAGGACGCCAAAATCTGTTCAAAAGTCCATTAGG